CATGATAACTCATTCATTCTTTAATCCATGAATGGATTAATTCATTCATGGGAACTCTACCCCCATGACCCAGTCACCTTTTAAAGGCCTCGTCTATCAATACTGCCACATTGGGGATTAAGTTTCAACACGAGTTTTTGGGGGGATAAATATTCAAACCATAGCAAGACCTCAGGACTCAGCCACCCTCTGTCATAGGTGACTCTGAGTGACAGTTAATTTACTCAAGTGGGACCTCAGGGACCAGGACAGAGCAGGACCTGAGAGACACACACGTATATACACTTCCTCTTACCTGGCTTAATGGTCACTTGAACGTTGACCCCAAGATCAATTCCAGTTTTCTCAATCCCACACCAATAACTGTCAGCATCATCTCTTTTAAGATTCTCCATGGTCACGGTGAATATGCGGTTTTTCTGATTGTCCCTGATGGACACCCGATTCTTCTTTACCTCCTGCTCTGATCCATTTGTTCTAACAAGGATGTTACAGCCATTCCAGTCAGCTCCTCGACACCACCACTTCAAGTAAGTTTCCCAGCCTGAGCTGTAAGCACACTGCACAGTCAACGAGCCCCACTCCAAGCCATTCACTGTTGCTGGACCAGTGATTTCAGTGGCAATGGAGTAGCCTGGAAAACACAAATTCATGTGCTGTCACCTCCCACTCCAAGGGCAGGGCCACAGCCTCCTGCATTGGGAGTAGTGGCCAAATCCAACTGCCTCATAACAGTCAAGGAAGGAATACATTTTCCACAAGACAAATCTTTGTCCTTCAAAATTCCACTGGGTCAAAGTCACCAGGAAAATCACTGAAGAGCACAATTGCAGATCCCCAACGAAACACAAATGTTGACACTGAGCAATAATAGCTTCCTGCAGTTCACCCCTCTCCCTCTCCCTATGGCCAACAAATCATTATATTCCAAGGAACGCTCTTTTGCAACCATCTTTGTGTTATACTGGTCTGATGGGGAGGAAATTGCAGAAGATCCTTTTCCAGGAGAATGATTGCTGCCTTGACGATTGGCTATTCCTGGTGATTCTGATGGTTTCTGGTGGCTCTGCTGTAGTTAATCACCCTGAATGAATCCCTTTGAAATTGATCAAATAGTGATACCAACTGGTCTGTATGTGCTATGGGATCCACATCACACAGATCTCCATTTAGCCATACATTGTTATAAATTCCAGTTCCAAAATTCCTAGGAAAAGCTAACTTAGATAAACGCAAGTAAAGGTTAGGTATAAACAGAGCGGCACCCATTCCACACTCTCCTGCATCTTATAAGTTCTTCTCTAAACATAATGGACATGATTCAAGTCAGCTAAAGGGTGAGGGATGGGGCATACCTAATTAGCTCCACTTTTCAAACAATTTGCTCCAGGACAAGACTAGTCTGCATGAACTTGTCAGCCTAATCTTTCACTTGAAAACAATTCAAAACAGTGGAAATACCCTAAGTGAGACCTTTGTCAGAAAATCTTTAAATTCAGCTGACCTAAAGGGAGACCCAGCTAAAGAAACGATTGATTTTGATTATTTGTGCACCGGTAATAAAGCGTAGCTGTGATTACTGCAGCATAAACTTGAGATCGAACTAGAAGCACATTGGAGCACTTGAAGAAGCCCTGGGAGCAATTCCCATGGAAGGAGAGAAGTTGTCTCTGAAACGCCAAGAGACACCCAAGGTCATGGTTAAGAGCTCAGGCTGTGCCAGAGGGCTTGGGTTTGAATCCTGGCTCTACCACTTACAAGTTTTGTGAACCTGGGCAAATTAACCTCTCTGTGTGATATGGTTTGGCTATGTCCTCACCCAAATCTCATCTTGAATTGTAGCTTCCATAATTCCCATGTGTTGTTGGGGGGACCCGGTGGGAGATAATTGAATCATGGGGTGGTTTTCCCCACACTGTTCTCATGGTAGTGAATACATCTCACGAGATCTGATGGTTATATAAAGGGAAACCCCTTTTGCTTGGCTCTTATTCTCTCTCTTGCCTGCTGCCATGTAAGACGTGCCTTTCACCTTCCACCATGACTGTGAAGCCTCCCCAGTCATGTGGAACTGTGAGTCCATTAAACCTCTTTTTCTTTATAATTTACCCAACCTCGGGTATGTCTTTATCAACAGCGTGAAAATGGACTAACACACTGTGCCTTCGTTTCCTATAAGTGGGAATAATAATGGCATCTACCTCTATGTTACTGTATTATGTTTGTTGTTATTATTATTACCCCTGGAGGAATGAAAACTTTAGACTTCATTGGAATGTCTTGAAAAACCAGGGTTCACCGTGGTAGGAGTGGAAGACAGTTTCACCACAAACAAGCAGAGCTGCACAACCCAAGGAATTCCTGGAACAGAAATTGGACTCCATGCCCAAATCTGCTCTCTATGGCATCCGAAGGGAACTAAGAAACTGCACACGACCTCCTGGGGAAAGATGGATTTGGGGGCTTCATTTGTTCACTCTGAAAAAAGTTCTGCATCAGAATGGAAAAACAACAATTAAGGTAAATATTTAAAGAAAAAATACATCTGGAAGTTATATAGGAAATAAGAGCTGGGTGTAGTAGCTCACACCTGTAATTTCAGCACTTTGGGAGGCTGAGGCAGGAGAATCGCTTGAGCCCTGGAGCTTGAAAGCAGGCCTGGAAACATAGCGAGACTAAATAAATAAATAAATAAATGTTAGCTGGGTGTCACACCACATGCCTGTAGTCCTAGCTACTTACTTAGGAGGTTAAGGTGGGAGGATGGCTTGAGCCTGGGAGGTCAAGGCTGCAATGAACCCTGATCCCAGCACTGTACTCCAGACTGGGTGACAGAGCAAACCCTGTCTCAGAAGGAAGGAAAGGAAGCAGAATACATCTGAAAATTTTTTACAGAAAATAAATTTGAAGCCAGGCATGGTGGCTCACACCTATAATCCCCGCACTTTGGGAGGCCAAAGTGGGAGGATCACTTGAGCCCAGGAGTTTGAGACCAGCCTGGGCATTAAAGTGAGTCCTCATCTCTACAAAATAATAATAATAATAATAATAATAATAATCGACTTTAAAAGAAAATAAATTCGAGATTGGAAGGAAAAATTTTCTTACAAAGCTTGATCTGAGTGTAGATAATATAAGAAGTACATAGATTTGTTACATTTTAGCAGAAATGAAAACACTGCATATCAAAATTTGTTGACATGACAGCCAAAGCTGTACTCAAATATAAATCCTTGGAAAAAATGTTTGATGATTCCTCAAAAACTTAAACATAGAGTTAACATAGGATTCAGCAATTATATCCCTAGATATATACCCAAAAGACCTGAAAACGTATCTCCACACAAAACCATGCTATGAAAGCTCATAACATTATTCCTAACAATTTTTAAAAGATGGAAACAACCCTAAGGTTCATTAACAAATGACTGGAGAAACCAAATGTGGTATATCCACTGTGAAATATTATGCAGCCATGAAAAAGAATGAAGCTCTGATTTGTGCTACAACACTGAGGAACCTTGAAACATAATGCTAAGTGAAAGAAGCCAGACATGAAAAGTCACATGTTGTATGATTCCATTCATATGAAATGTCCAGAACAGGCAGACTCCTGGAGACAAGAAAGTAGATTAGTGGATGCCAAGGGCTGGGGAAGGGGTTAACTGCTAATGTGTATGGGGTTTCTTTTTGAGGTGAGGAAAATGTTCTGGAATTAGATAGAGGTGATCTTTGTACAACTTTGTGAATATACCAAAAGCCACTGAGTTACACACTTTGAGTAAATTTTATGGTGTATGAATTATATCTCAATTGGACAAAACTAAATTCTTAGTCTTAACATAATTTAATTAATTTAGAAAGAAAAATAATCACAATATTTCATTTATTAAAGATAACAAGTGCTAATCCCAAGGAAATAAGAAGAAATTATACCTATAAGAAATGAATAATTAGATAATAAAATCAGTTAACATTAACCAACCAGATCTCAAAACTGACTAGTTCAATGTAGGAGAAAAGAGGATGTGGGAAAAGGAGAAGCAACAATAACGTGGAAAATCTTGTGGCACATGTAATCAAAATGAGCACCGTCATTCCTCGATATCCAGAGGGAATTTGTTCCAGGACCCTGTGGCTATGAAAATCTACAGATGCTCAAGTCCTTGATATAAAATGCCATGATATTTACATATAACCTACACACATCCTCCCACACACTTTAAATCTCTCTAGATTATTTATAATTCTAATGCAATGTAATTGCTACGTCACATATAGTTGTTAGACCGTACTGTTCAGGGAATAATGAAAAGAAAAAGTCTGTACATGTTCAGCGCAGGTAGAGGGCTTTCTTTTCCAAATATTTTCCACCTGTAGTTGGTTAACTTGACAGATGAGGAACCCATGGATATATATGTAGGGCTGACTGTATATGACAACACATATTAAAATTTTAAATTATAAAAGGATGCTTTATAACTACAGAACTTTATGCTAATATATACTTAATAATATTGTTAGCTTTCTTGGTGGAGGGGGGGGGTGGAAATGATATAATTTATTCAAAAACAAGCAAAAAAAACCCTGAATAGATAATAATCATGGTGGGGGTGGGGGAGAATCCAAACTATTCAAAGAATTTACCCTAGATCAAGGCTCTATTGTCAGATAGCCTTATAGGTAATTTTTCAAGATTCTAAGGGAAAAAAATCCTTTATGTTCTAATTCCAGAGCATTAAAAAATGGAAATCTGGCCGGGCACAGTGGCTCACACCTGTAATCCTAGTATTTTGGGAGGCCAAGGTGGGCGGATTATGAGGTCAAGGAGCCCAGACCAGGCAGGCCAACATGGTGAAACCCCGTCTCTACTAAAAATACAAAAAAGTTAGCCGGACATGGTGGTGCACACCTGTAGTCCCAGCTACTTGGGAGGCTGAGGCAGGAGAATTGCTTGAACCTAGGAGGCAGAGGTTGCAGTGAGCCGAGATTGCGCCACCGCACTCCAGCCTGTGCGACAGAGCAAGACTCCTTCTCAGATAACGATTACGCACTGTCTAGCTGCCTGTCTTCCTCCTTATACTCTGAGCTCTTTAGAGGAAGTCTCTCAGCTGTGGCTAAGAACCAGTCAAGACCATGTATGGAGGCGTCTAAACCATCCAGATGCTTGAGCCTGCCATGACTGACTGAGTGGGTCTGAGCCGGAACCCGAGTATCCGTGCTCTTTAAAAGTTCTTCAAGAATGGACTCATTCATTAGTTCCTTCCTTATTCATATCTGTTCATTCATCTGTTTATATAGAAGGGTCAGGGTTGAGAACCCTAAGGTTCATGGAAGTGAGTCCTCATCTCTACAAATAGTAATAGTAATAATAATCAACTTTAAAAGAAAATAAATTTGAGATTGGAAGGAAACATTTTCTTACAAAGCTTGATCTGAGTATAGATCATATGAGAAGCACATAGATTTGTTACATTTTAACAGAAATGAAAACACTGCATATCAAAATTAGTTGACATGACAGCCAAAGCTGTACTCAAATATAAATACTTGGAAAAAAAGTTTGATGATTCCTCAAAAAGTTAAACATAGAGTTAACATAGGATTCAGTAATTATACCCTTAGATATATACCCAAGAGAACTGAAAACGTATCTCCACACAAAACCGTGCTATGAAAGTTCCAACAAGAAGCTATTCCTGTTTTGTTTTGTCTTTGTTTCTGCAGCATCTGACACAGAACCTGTCAGATAACAAAAACTTGACTGCTATTTAATGAATACGGGCATGGATGGATGAATTGGCGCTGTCGTTTTCCCTGACGTGTCTCCTTCCTAAGAACAGAGTGTCTCTGTCTCCAGCCCAGCCTCTGTCATTCCAGCACCTTAAAGCTCCAGCTACACTCACCTGCGAGGATAAGAAGCAGCAGAGCCTGGGACAGCCACATGGTACTGTCTCCTCTCCTCTCCTCAGTGATCACAGGTGTCTGGTGCCCTTCAGACACTTGAATCCAAGCTCGGAAGTCAATGCTGCAAACCTACCCGAATCTCCTTCAAGTTTCTTGCTCACTTCCTATTATGTCTGTAGCTACTTCTCTATTTTACATATTTGGAGAAAAGAGGTGTCATTCTTTGCTATGGTGCAGTGTGTGTTGCAAGGTGTGTCCAAACTTTTGTGCATGTAGGAAAGAAAATGGGTCCAGGCCTGGTCAGGTTTGCACGGCAGTGCATGTGGGAGCTAAGGAGCAGGAGGAGCCAGGAGAAACCCAGACATTGAGGAGCTGTGGGATCTACTGCCAGGAGGAGAGGACAGACAAGGCTGGCCATGAGGAGTGCGGGGAGAGGAGCAGTTTGGGAAGCCCACAGTGCACAGGACTCACACCCAGCCTTGCTGGAGAAGGCCCATGCCCAGGCTCCTTCCAGGCAGCCCCACTGTAGGACATCTCATTGCCTCTTCCTGCTCTGGGCTGTCTGACCCACTGCCCCTACCCCCAGGACCGCTTCCTCTGGGGTCGTGAGTCACTCTGAAGCCACTATGAAGCCAAGGACGGGCTCAGTGGGGAAGGTCAGGAATGGAGAAGTTGCCTTTTCTCATTAGCTTCCTCTTACCCTGATTTCATCCTCTCCATCCCTGCACACTTTCCCCTGGCTGCTGTTGGAAATTACTTGTTCTGCTGACGCCCAGACGGACTTTCCCAGTCTCTCCCCACTTTCTTCAGACGGTCCCTTCCCTCTTTCTCTGTCACCTTCTCCCTCTCCCTTTCCTTCCTGAATTGATTCATTTTGTCTCTCCTGTTTTATATTTTCCATATCTGTGGGCTTTGTTCTACATCTGGGGAGCTTTTTATATTGTTTATTTCATGATTTTACTTTCTCTTCCAATTCTTGGATCAAATATTTATTTTAGAGACTGGATTTTTATTTCAAAACTTTTTTTGGTTCTTTGATTGCTAATGTTTTTCAAACTCTCTTCTGTTCCTTGAACTGTATCCCACCACTCTGTGGTCATGTCTTTGTTTTGTTGTTTGGTTTTGTTTGGTGCTTCTTTATGATGAGCCGTCCTCAAATGTCTGCTAATTCTTGGTTATCCAGTCATAGTCAAGAACGAGCTAAAGTGTAGCTAACTGAGACTTCAGAGTATATAGGAGTAAATAATATATAAAATAGCTCTGGTGGCTCACGCCTGTAATCCCAGCACTTTGGGAGGCCAAGGTGGGCAGATCACCTGAGGTCGGGAGTTCGAGACCAGCCTGGCCAACATGGAGAAATCCCATCTCTACTAAAAATACAAAAATTAGCTGGGCAGTGGCACACGCCTGTAATCCCAGCTACTCAGGAGGCTGAGACATGAGAATCACTTGAACCCAGGAAGTGGAGGTTGCAGTGAGCCGAGATTTCACCACTGCTCTCCAGCCTGGGCGAAAAAGTAGTTCCAAAAAAGACACTTGTACACGCATGTTTACAGCAGCACAATTTGCAACTGAAAACATAAGGAACCAGCCTAAATGCCCATCAAGCCATGAGTGGATAAAGACAATGTGGTGTACATATACACCATGGAATAGTATTCAGCCATAAAAAGGAACAAAATAATGGCATTCACAGCAACTTGGATGGAGTTGAAGATCATTATTTTAAGTGAAGTAACTCAGGAATGGAAAACCAAATATTGTATGTCCTCACTTATAAGTGGGAGCTGAGCTATGAGGATGCAAAGGCACAAGAATGATACAACGAATTTTGGGGACTTAGGGGAAAGGATGAGGGGAATGAGGGAAAAAAGACTATACGCTGGGTAGTGTACACTGCTTCAGTGACGGGTGCACCAAAATCTCAGAAATCACTGCTAAAGAACTTATCCTTGTAACCAAAAGCCACCTGCTCCCCAAAAACTATTGAAATAAAATATAAAAAAGAAAAAGAAAATGAATAGTTCCAATTTATCATGCCAAATTATTTGAAACCTGAAATTATTTGAACCCTTGATTCTTTCTTGACTTACAAGCTACATTTTAAGGTGTGTGGGCACAGAGGGGCCTTCTAAATTCTAGAATGAAGAGGATTGAAGTTGAGCTCCAGCATTCTCACTGCCATGGTTTCCCCAGATATTATATTAAACTAAATAACTCCTGCTCTTTTGCTTGGGGGTCACTGCCTGCCTCAGGTATTTGGGGTATATGCAAAGATGCACATTTTTGGCCGGGCACAGTGGCTCGCATCTATAATCCCAGCACTTTGGGAGGCTGAGGTGGGTGGATCACCTGAGGTCAGGAGTTCAAGACCGGCCTGGCCAACATAGTGAAACCCCATCTCTAATAAAAATACAAAAATTAGCCCAGCATGGTGGCGCATGCCTGTAATCCCAGCAACTTGGGAGGCTGGGGCAGGAGAACACAAGAACCCAGGAGGCAGATGTTGCAGTGAGCCGAGATCACACCATTGCACTTCAGCTGGGGTGACAGAGTGAGACTCCATCTCAAAAACAAAACAAAACAGAACAAAAATGTGTTTGTGGAATTGCTCCATGAACAAAGCTCCAATTGGGTCCCCAGTCTCCATTCCCACTTCTGACCCACACTCTGCATCATACCTGCTGGAGCTGAGTTCAAAGCCTCCCGTGAGTTTTATCAGGTGGGTCAATTAGAAGCAGGGGTTGCAAAATGCAATTTATTTTATCTGCCCTTTATTCTGAGGGTACACCCAATATGCCCCAGACCAACATAACCCTAAACTTTTGACACAGCACATCCCTAAACCAGTGTAGGGTTTATCTCCCAGTCTCTGGAGCACATCCAGTTGCTAGCCTCTTCTTGTTATCAGGTCCAATTCGCATGATGTCATAAACGCAGGGGACTACCTTTATGTTCTGGGCAATGGCTGGACGATTCAGGTTTCTTAGAATACTATGAGAAGAAGAAAATTAACGCAGTCCTGGAACAAGACTATCAAAGTATACTGTTGTCCATGCCGAGTGAATGTACCTGCCTCTCTGTTCCTCCTTCCTGATGGTAGTGGAAAGCATGCTTTTGCCAGATCAACAGTCACACACAACACACCAGGTTATGTTCATCTATTCTAGTAAACCTGTCACTGTTGGCACAGAAGCTGGAAATTTGGCTATTGCTTTAATATGGTGGTGGGTTTGTTGCTGTTTTGTTTTGGAGACAGGGTCTCACTCTGTTGCCCAAGCTGGAGTGCAGTGACACAATCATAGCTCACCGCAGGCTCCACCTCCTGAGCTTCAGTGATCCTCTTGCCTCAGCCTCCTGAGTGGCTGACAGTACAGTCGTGCAACATTGCACTGGCTAATTTTTTTAAAAACACTTTTCGGTAAAGAAAGGATCTTGCTCTGTTGCCCAGGCTAGTCTCAATCTCCTGGGCTCAAGTGATCCTCCTGCCTCAGCTTCCCAAAGTGCTGGGATTACAGGTGTGAGCCACCACGTCCAGCCTCTTGGTTTAGTTTTCACTAGCCCATTGACCTTGGTAAATTAAAGGCAGATCTGGTGGGACCACAGCCTTGTTTTCTTTGTCTTGGAGGGTGGCACTGATCTCTGTGTTCCTGGCAGAATGTGACATTGTTTGAGATTTACTATCTTGGCCGCAGCAGAGGGACAGCCTTGGAGGCTTCCACTTGGCCTTCCCCAGTCTGATCACTTTTACTGCACAGACCAGAGAGTCAATATTCGTATGCACCAGTTGCTAAGTGTATTCACTTCTATCATTTCTAAAAATCGGGGCAAGAACCACTGGGCCGCCTCTCTTGTCTCTAGGATCTTGATTTTGCCTCTGGTTCTAATCAGGACTCGCTGCCTGGTCCAAGTGCTCAGCTTGTCTCAGACCACCCAGTGACTCCACCTGCCCTCTTCCCTTCCGGAATTCTCTCAGCCCCGCTGCTCCTGTGGAGTTCAGTTATGTAACGGCATCTCCTCCCGTGAGCCTGGCCTACAGAGACAGTCACTGCTGAGCCTCTCCATAATGCTAATGCCCCATCACCAGCATAGTTCTCATTTCCCTGGTAATTGGAGTATCCTCCAGGGCATCCCAAGGATAATACTCATTAAATACTAATTTAATTTAGTATGCTAAAGTGAAACTAGCATATTTTACCTGAAAACACAATCAAATAATTTCATGTGAGTCTTTTTAAAAACAACCTTGCTTTTTTATAGCAGTTTTAGGCTCCCAGCAAAATTGAGCAGGAAGTACAGAGATTTCCCACATGCCTCCTACCCTCACACAGGCACAGCCTTCCCCATTATCAACATCCCCGACCAGAGTGGGACATCTGTTACAACTGGCGAATCCATATTGATACCTGTGACCGTTTGAAGTCCAAGTTTGCATTGGGGCTCACTCTTAGTGTTGCATATTCTATGGGTTTAGACAAATGGATGATGACAGCATCCTATAGAGTAGGTTCACTGCCCTGAAGATCCTCTGTGCTTCCTTGAGCCTTTTGATCCCTTCTTCCACACCCTGCCATGATATCTTTACATCACTGAGTGTGGGGTTTTGTTGCTTCCAAGCTTCTCAGGGCCATCCCAGCAGTGCACTAGGACCACTCTCCCAGCTTTGCAGGTGGTGAGTCCTCCTACATTGCATGGATGAGTACCTCTATGTTGAAAAACCCTTCCTGACTCAGCACTATCATCCACTGCCCCGGGATCCACTCTCACACACACTCTTCTAACTGGTTCATGCCAGTGTGTATTAGTTCTCCTGTTGCCTTAGCAGCGTGTTTCTAGGTGGGCCAGGCTGACACTCAACCTTAGTTATGGGTCAGAAAGAGAAATGAGGGCAGATTCCTCAAGTAGATCCTTAGGGGGCAGCTATGTCTAGTGAGGCATCTGCTTCATTGGAGACCTCAGCATCATCTTCAACATGGGAGCTGTTACCTTCTAACAAGTGCACCTGGCCGCTCCGCAGTGGGAGGCTCACGGTCTCTGGTGAATTGTCAAATGTCCCGTCCTCAGGTTCCTACTTTTCCCTACGGGGGCCTGACTTGTTGAGGCTAAGGGTTGAGTTTTCACTGAAGTTTCACTTCTCTTAAACTTGGGTCTGGGCCTGTGTATTAGTCCTTTCTTATGCTGCTGAAAGAGACATACCCAAGACTGGATAATTTATAAATGAAAGAGGTTTAATGGACTCTCAGTTCCACATGGCTGGGGAGGCCTCACAATCATGGTGGAAGGCAAATGAGGAGCAAAGTCACGTCTTAAATGGCGGCAGGCAAGAGAGTTTGTGCAGGGGAACTCCCCTTTATAAAACCATCAGATCTCATGAGACTTATTCACTGTCACAAGAACAGTATGGAAAACCCCGCCCCCATTATTCAATTACCTCCCACTGGGTCCCTCCTGGTGGGAATTATGGGAGCTACAATTCAAATGAGATTTGGTTGGGAACACAGGCAAACCGTATCAGCCTGATCTACAGCACATGTTTTTCTCCAGATAAAGGGAATGGGGATCCTTTCAAAAGCTGCTAAGGAGGATACCAGATGCCCACCAAAGGCATG